ATGGCTCAACATTAGAAAAACAATCAACATCATCCATAACATAAATAAAACAAAGGAAAAGAATCACATGATCATATCAATCGATGCAGAAAAGGCATTTGATAAAATCCAACACCCATTCCAGATCAAAACTCTCAGCAAAATAGGAGTAGAAGGGACATTCCTCAACATAATAAAGGGCATATATGCAAAACCAACAGCCACCATTATTCTCAATGGAGAGAAACTGAAACCACTCCTCTTGTGAACAGGAAGCAGGCAAGGAGGCCCTCTATCACCGCTTCTATTCAACATAGTACTGGAAGTCCTAGCCAAGGCAATGAGGCAAGAAAGGGAAATCAAAGGCATCCAAATTGGTAAGGAAGAAATAAAACTATTCCTATCTGCTGATGATATGATCCTATATATAGAAAACCCAAAAGACTCAGCAAAAAAACTACTGGAACTAATTGAGAGATTTAGCATAGTAGCAGGATATAAGATAAACACCCAAACATCAGTTGGATTCCTGATTGGAATCAGCTGGAATTCCTGATTGGATCAGTTGGAAAGAGATTGCTGAAAAGGAAATAAGGAAATCAATACCATTTACAATAGATGCCAACAAAATAAAACACTTGGGAATAAATCTCACTAGGGACATAAAAGACCTGTACACAGAAAACTATGAAAGACTACTTTTAGATAAAGGCCTCAGATTTCACTTTGTAAGAGATCTACATAAATGGAAGAACATAACCATGTGCATGGATAGGAAGACTGAATACTGTGAAAATGTCAATACTACCCAAAGCAATCTATACATTCAATGCAATCCCAATCTAGATCCCATCAACATTCTTTAAGGATACGGAAAAATCAATCATTAATTTTATACGGAAAGGAAAGAGATCTCAGATAAGCAAAGCACTACTGAAGAAGAAGAACAAAGTAGGAGGTCTCATACTCCCAGATCTCAAAACCTACTGTACAGCCACACAGACCAGTACAAGAGAACTGAGAATCCAGAAACAGATCTATCAACCTATGCTCAGCTGATTTTTGACAAAGAGCTGAAATCCATTAAATGGGGAAGAGATGCTCTCTTTAACAGATGGTGTTATCAAAATGGGATATCCATTTGCAGAAAAATGAAACAAGATTCGTACCTTACACCATATACAAAACTAACTCCAGATGGATCAAAGACTTAAATGTGAAACTGAAAACTATAAAGTTCCTTAAGGAAAAAATAGGGGCAAATCTAGGGGCTCTCATTTATGGCATAAATAGACTGTTAAGCATAACCCAAAATGTATAAACAGCTGAAGATAAATTAGATCAACGGAATCTTCTAAGAA